TGTAGCAAGAGGGGGAGGCCGTGGAAATCGAGGTGGTGGTCATGGTGAGTCTGGATCACCTGCCAACAAACTACATTCCAACCCTCTACCAACATGATCTTATACCGCACATCTCATATATAGTGGGTCCCACTTTTATGGTGTGTCCTAGTCTCTTAGTGAGATGTGTAGTATTAGATCAAGTTGGTAGAGGGTTGGAATGTGTTTTGTTGACAGAAAATCTCAACTCAGCCGTGGTGGTCCCATGTTTAGCCAAGGTGGTGGAAGCTGTGGTGGTCGAGATTCAGGGGGAGACCGTGGTAGAGGACAAGGCACTGGTCCCAAGTAGTGCACTTATTGTGGGCCAATCATGCTGTAACAAGTGGTGGTGAAGTGGGTGAAAATCAGCAAGTTGATCAGAAATTTGCTACAACTATTCATGGGAAAGAGATGATGAGTTTTCCCTATGATGAATATGAGAGGTTTCTCCAAGTTAGATCCCAACAAAACACAACTACTCTTGGTCACTCAGGAATGGCTTATCTTACATCTAACCCTCCCCCCTTGGATTATTGATTTTGGAGCCTCTGGCCATATGATTGGGACTCTTGGTGTGTTTTCTTCCCTCTTTTAGTTCCCCACCTCACACACTGTTACTTTAGCCAATGGTTCCACTTCTCCCATTTGTGGTGTTGGTAATGTTGACGCTGCATCTTTATCCTTATCTTTTGTTGTATATGTGCCTAAGTTTCCTTTTAATCTTATGTCTGTGAGTAAGCTAACCAAATCCCTCAATTGTTCCATCAGTTTTTACCCATCTTCTTGTGTTTTTCAGGATCTCAAAATGGAGAAGAAGATTGGTGGAGGGCATGAGACTGGTGGATTGTATTGTCTTGATGATGGCAGTCCTATAGTAGCACTTCAGTCTTACTCCTCTTCCAATGGGATTGTAGGCTTGGTCATCCATCTCTTAAAGCTCTTAAACTACTTGTTCTATCATTGAGTCGTGTGTCATCACTACATTGTGAGTCGTGTCAGTATGGGGAACACCATCAGGTTTCCTTTAGTCCTAGAGTCGATAATCATGTAATGAGTCCTTTTGCTTTAGTTTATTCAGATGTTTGGGGTCCGAATACAATTGTGTCCTATAATGGTTACAAGTATTTTGTAATTTTTTGCCGATGACTATTCAAGAATATCATGGATTTATCTTATGAAAGAAAGAAGTGAATTATTCTCTATTTTTTCAAAAGTACCATGCTAAAATTCAGATTTAGTTTGGTGTTCCAATAAAAGTTCTTTGTTTTGATAATGGCAAAGAGTACTTTCTTACTTGTTTCAGTAGTATTTGGAGCATCATGATATTATCCATCAAACTTCTTACACATACACTCCACAACACAATGGAGTGGCTGAAAGAAAATACTAGCATTTACTTGAGCCCTCGGTCCCTTTTGCATCATATGAATGTACCCAAATGTTTTTGGAGTGATGTTGTACTTATTGCTTGTTTTTTCATTAAACGAATGCCTTCATTCTTTCTTGATGGTCATTCTCCATTTTCAATTTAGTTTCCCACTTTGTCTCCATTCCCTTTAACTCCTTGAATCTTTGGTTGTGTATGTTTTGTTCAGAAACTAGGTCCTAGATTGGACAAGTTGGATGCTCAGGCTACAAAGTGTCTTTCTTGGCTATTCTAGGACCCAAAAAGGTTATAAGTGCTATAATCCTCTTACTCAATGATCAATTGTGTGTCCTAATGTTACTTTCTTTAAGCCAATTCCTTTTTTTGGTAGTGTTGTTGTTTCTTTTTCTCCTCCGGTTGTTCCTCTTGCAATTCTAGTCATGGTTTTCAGAACCAGTCACGGTTGTTCCTCTTTCAAATCCGTTTTTTTGCCAAAACCGGATTTTGGCCAAAAAATGTTGATTTGGTTAGCAAACCGCTGACCCGGGTGGTTGAACCGTTCAAACCGTTCAACGGTTTTAACTATTTTTTATATTTTAATTTTTTTAATTTTTTGTCAGAACGGGCCAACTTTTTGATTCGAATGGTTGGACCATTCGACCCGGGAACTGGACCCCTAACCGGTTTGTTCTCTAGGTTGGTTTTAAAAACCTTGATTCTAGCTGATGATGTCATCCCTATTGTTCTAGTTGCAGCTGAGTCTTCACCTCCTCCAGTGCAGATTCATACTGAGTGGCCACTAATCAGGAAAGTGTATACTCATAGACGAACACTAGCTCCTCCTCTAACTCCGATTGCTTTGCGTAAAGGATGTTCAAGAAGCTCTTACCTCACTAGAGTGGCACCAAGCAATGGAGGAAGAATTCTCTACTCTTGCACACAATCACATGTGGGAACTCACAACTCTTACTCCTGGTGAACATGTTGTAGGATGTAAGTGGGTGTATATTGTCAAGCATCTAGCAGGTGGTATAGTGGAAAGATTGAAAGCCCGATTAGTTGTTAAGGGATACTCATAGTTGTATGGGGTGGACTACATGGAGAACCTCTCTTCAGTTGCTAAAATTGGTTTAGTGCATGTTCTCATTATCTTTATCAACTATGTATGATTGGCCATTGATTCAACTTGACATTGAAAATGCCTTATTACATGGTGACTTGGTTGAAGAAGTTTACATGGAACAACCTCTTGGGTTTGTTGCTTAGGGGGAGGATGGGAAGGTATATAGGCTCAAGAAGGCAATTTATGGACTAAAACAATCTCCTCGAGCTTGGTTCGAGAAATTTAGTGAAGTTGTAAAAGAATTTGGTATGAAACAGTGTCAAGTTTATCACTTAGTGTTTAGCTATGATCCTAATGTTGGAAAGATTTTGTTTGTTGTATATGTGGATATTTTATAACAAGCAATGACAGGTTGGGAATTGATAGCTTGAAAACCTTTTTGCAAGATCATTTTCAAACAAAGGGCCTCCACAAATTGAAGTACTTCTTGGGTATGGAAGTTGCAAGGTCAAAGCATGGTATAAATTTGTGGCAAAGGAATTATGTTCTTGACCTATTAGAGGAGACAAGGTTATTAGTTGCTAAACCGACTGAAAGCCCCTTGGAGCCAAATGTTAAATTGAGCATTGATGCAGGTGATGTGTTTTATGATCCTGGAAGGTATAGACGTCTGGTTGGGCTGAACTACTTGACTATTACTCGACTATGTATCTTCTTTTGTAGTTAGTGTGGTCATCCAATTTATGCAGAATCCACGGGTTCCTCATTGGGATATTTTTCTTAGAATTATGCGATACTTGAAAGGCACACTAGGTCGTCTGATAGAAGGTCAACCACGGGATATTGTATGTTCCTTGGAGGAAATCTGATTACATGGAAGAGTAAGAAATAAACAGTTGTAGCAAGAAGTAGTGCAAAAGTTGAATATAGGGCCATGACACACAACATGTGAATTGGTGTGGTTGAAAACCTCCTACAAGAGATCGGGCTCTCAATAAATAGTCGTATGAAACTGTATTGTGATAATCAAGCTGCTGTCCACATCTCAACTAATATAGTTTTTCATGAGAGGGTGAACACATAGAGGCTGACTTTTATTTTGTAAGAGAAAAGATCCTTAGTGGAGTGATAAGCAAAGAGCATGTGAGTTCAGGAAATCARTGGGCAGATTTGTTTGCAAAAGGATTGAGTTGTGGAAGAATGCATTGCATATGTAACAAGCTGGGACTATATGACATATACTCTTCAGCTTGAGAGGGAGTGTTAGAGTCAACCAAACAGGGGTAGTATGGTCTTTTCCCTTATTAAGTTGTGCTTTGTCAGTTTTTGTCTTACTTTAAGTTATTGTCCCCTCACTAAAGTAGGGGTATATCAGTCATTGTACTTTTATCATATCTATATAAGATTGGGTCGGCTAGGGAGAGGATTCATTCTCTCTAGACCAGATCGTGGTTCTTGTATTCTCTTCTCTCTTCTCTCCTTTTTCTCCTCTTCTCTTTTTCTCCTTTTTTCATCTTATCACTGAAATTCAAGGGCCAAAGTGTTGAAACAATTGTATTGAAATATCTAAGGGTAGAATGGGATTGGGTATGTAGACCAAGAAGGTGGAGGTTTGGGTTTAACTAGAGCATGAGTTCTGAAGAAAGGATGGGTATAAATGGATATTGCTGCTCTATGTTGACCTCTTTATCTCATAAGTTGACTTTGCTCTTGGTTCTGTTGAGTTGTGTGGTTTACTTACCATCTGAATAATATGGAGAACTTTGTTTTTTAACATAATAATCTATTTGTATTACAAAGCAAAATACCTGTAGACCAATAAAAGGGACATTACTATCCCTTGGAAAGATCACTGATTCCCGGATTACCTGTTCTATGCAAGTATGTGGAGACTGGAGAAATTTTTTATTATTAGTTGTGAAGAGGGGTAAAAGAGTACACTGCTTGTCTAATCCCATCCCTTTTCCTTTGAAGCAATGGTTCCAACCTGGTCTTAGAAGAAATAAGCTTATTGTCATTTAATACAAAATTTTCTATATACATTTTCTTTTACATATGTCTACCTGTGATAGCTATAGTTCCATTGGTCTAGGTTCTAGATTTTTTTAATATATATTTTGATTGGTTTATGCTATGAGATTTTTTCCTCGTGTCTTTTCCACAGGTTGTTTGTTGTCAAAGGTAGATTGATTTTATTTTATTTTTTCTTTCCCATCTATACAAGCATTTCTAGATTCTATGGTATAACTTTTTGTTAAATTTTATTAACATGTGCATTGTATTTAAATGTCAAAACTTGCAAAAAGATTATTGTACATATGTGACATTTTAATGATTATTGAAGTTAAATCAATAAACTAAATTGCCTAGCAAAAATATTTCATCCATCTTTTATATGAATTCTATTATGACAAAATGTTAAAGATATTTTTGTATCTTGTGAATAAAATTCCATTGTTTCTTCCCTGCAATTACATTTCTTTCCCCTAGAAAATAATTACAGGAAATTTCTGCCTCTGCTCCTGGTAGCATATGAATCTGTTGTCTTCACAGGAAATTGCTGGTGATGAATTGGGGAAATTATTACAAATCAGAAGCAAGATAGCAAGAAGAAAGGCCCTGTCAACATTAGAAGAAAAAGTATTGGCCATTCTTACAGAAGAAGGGTATGTCAACAAGGATGAACTTTCTGTGGCTGCTGAAACAATACCAGATTTATACGAGGATGATGAGGAGGATGATGTTGTTGTTGTGGATGGAGAAGTAGATGAAGGTGATGTTCACATCACTCCAGTTTCAAGAAAGCCTCTCCCTTTGGTAAGGCTAACTTGTCTTCATCTTCTTGTGTTTTAGCAAACAGTTCTTTGGCTAAATTGTCATGATTTAAAAGGATTTTCAGATACTTTATTTACTTAAACAAAACAGAAAAACAATGTTATTATGTGATCTTCCTTATTAATCTAGAATTATCATAATCCTGTGCACTTGCTTTCTATTATTTGACACAACTCACATTCCAAAGATAACAAATGATTCAAAGAGGAAACCAGGAAAGGACCTCATGATGTAGTAATTTCTCCCACATTCATTGGACTGTAGAAAAGTAGGCTAGGATGCACAATTTCTCCTACCTGAAGGTCGTGATAAGATCCTTGTAATGTTATGTCTCTGAGAATAATTCTTGGTTACCCTATCCTAGATCTATGCCACAGTCTCCAAAAATACAAGTAAATGACTGATCTGTGGTTGCATAGAGTTCAGCAATCAAGATATGACTGTTAAATCCTCCTGGTCTCACTTCTCAACATCAAGACCTTCTCCATCTGGTATGGAAGTATTTCTTGTAGGATACCCTTGTTTCCCTTTGCCTCAAATGTATATTATTAACTGTGCCAATTCCAAAAGTTATTCCCATCAAGGTGAGTGGTAGTTATGGGAAGGATGGAACCATCAACAGCCTTTCCTAAATTGATAATCCACCAATTGGGGAGTCCATTGTACTCAGATTGGACACACTATCATTCTGGAAAGGAAAAAATACTCAACAAATCTCAACTGTAAGACAAAGTGCAATAAAAAACTACCCAAATAAGAAGGATCTAGTGATCTGATATCCTAATCATCAATGCCAAGGAGATTGCACTAGTTCAGGCACCAGAAATAGGAAACATAGAGCCTGGGGCAAATATGTCCCATACAAAAAATCCAAAATATTCCCAATGCCTCAGAAAGTTTTGAAAGTGGTTCTTATCAATCACAAAAGGTATATGTAAAACTTCACGAGTAAAAGCATCCCTATTCTTCCATAAATGCAAATAAGTCAGATCTGCAATTTTCCGATTTTTTCCATTTTTTGTAGCAAAAAATGTCAAAAAATCTTATAATGATTTCACATGAGCATCAAACCAGCACAAGAAACTTCTAAAATACTGATCTTCCAGGATCTAATGTTTCTCCATACAGCTTGTCCTTGTCTGTATAGCTGATGATGTCACCTGAATGGACAATGATGTCACCATCAACAATGCTCAACTCTTGCTGTTGTACTGGAACTCCTTTCTAGTTGTGATGGCATCTTGCAATATGGATTTTAGTGTTGGATGGATTGTTTGAGTGTCTCTTTGGCCCATTTACCATCTTATCAATTTCATAATACAAAAATCACTGGAATAACTTTACTCTTCATTCAATGCTTATTAGTTTCTATATGAAAAGCCTCTTTGATTCCCCCTTTTTCAACTTCCAAAAGAAGAGAGGAAAGACAATGTGGAGATGCAAGAGGGAAGATACTTACGGTCAATATGGGAAGAAAGGAGTCCAAGTGTTTTCATAGACCCATCTGCACGATACTTGATAGTGAAAACCCATATACCTGGGTATATCTCTTGGCAACAAGCTGAGCCTTGTACCTCTCAATTGACCAATCTGCACGATATTTGATAGTGAGAACCCACTTGCACCCATTAGGTTCCTTCCTAACTGGCAAGTCAACAATATCCCAGATATTGTTTTTATGAAGGGCTTCTATTTCAGTACTCATAGCATCCCTCCAATCTGGTGTGGCTAAGGCTTTTGAGACAGACTTTGGGATGGATTGAGAGAAAATGGAGGCTAGAAAGGCATAGTAGGATGGGGACAACAAACTTTGGAAAGGTGTTTGGAAATACAATGAGTTGTATATTTCCTCTTACCTTTTCTCAAAGCAATGGGTAGGTCAAGGTTTGGAAACGAGGGTGCTAGTGGAGGAGGTGATGGACATGTCCTCTCTTTAGTAATTGGGAGTGCCTGAGATTCAATTGGAGGTGTGGGATCAACCTGTGTTTGCCTTAGCCTTTGCTGCTGGTACCACCTCTAGAGAATAGGATGAGTGGAAATAACTGGAGGACTAACAGGAGGAGGGAGAGGAGCAGGAATGGAAGACTTCAAATGAGAGGATCCCTCCACGGGAATGGGGGTAATTGTGGAGGGCTCGAAACAAGATTCAACTGGAGTTGACAAAGGAAGGGATGAAGAAAACGACTCGAGAGATTTCTCCCTCTAAGAAGGATAGCTATAGAAAGGAACTAACTCTGCAAAGGTTACATCCATGGAAACAAACCGGGTGCCACTAATGGGATCAAAACAACAATACTCTTTATGTGTGGAGGCATAACCAAGGAAGATACACTTCTAAGCCTTGAGGTCAAACTTGTGTCTTTTGGAACTGGGAATGTGGACATAACAAGTGCAACCAATGACCCTCAGAAGAATGGAGAAAATCTCAACATCAGGAAAGAGGACTCCAAAAGGAGATTTTAATCCCAAGACTCGAGAAGGCATGCAATTAATAAGGTAGGTAGCTGTTAAAACTGCATCACCCCAAAACCTCACAAGAACATGGGTAGAAAAAATAATGCTCCTTGCAACTTCCACAATGTGTCTGTTTTTCCTCTCCGCTACTCTATTTTGTTGTGGAGTGCGGGTAGTCGGGCACAAGAGCTCTGATGAATAACCCCAAACTTCTCAAGATAGGAGGTAAGGTCTTTCCCAAAATATTCCTTAGCATTGTCTGATCGAAATATTTTGATGCGGGTATTAAACTGAGTGAGTATGTGTTCATGGAGCTGTTGCACAAGTTTAGCTACTTAAGCCCGAGAGAGATAAGGTAAATCCAAGTATATCATGAAAAATCATCAATAAACAGGATGAAATTTATATACCCACATGGTAAGGCCCCCACACATTAGAGTGAATAAATATTAAAAGGAATAGTTTATCTTTTATTACTTGAAGGATAAATGCTCTTACAATGCTTTGAGAACTCACAAGACTCACAATGAATCCCTAGGAGCTAACCCAAAGGAAAGCCGCTTTTGGACCCCTGCTGTGGAAAAGTTTGGAAAGAAGTTGGCAAGCTGGAAAAAGAATTATATCTTTGTGGGGGGTAGAGCGACTTTGATTAAATCCACACTTGCTAATTTGCCAGTTTACTTTCTGTCTGTCTTTAAGATTCCTACTAGGGAAGCTAAGAGGATAGAGAAGGTGATGAGGGACTTCTTGTGGGAGCCGGGGCAAGAGAAGAACGATCATTTGATTAGATGGGATAGTTAGTCGAAGTAAGGAGGAAGGAGGATTAGGATTAGGGAATATTACTTTTAAGAATGTAGTTGTTCTAGGTAAGTGGTTGTGGAGATGGCCTTTAGAGAGGGAGTGGTTATGGCATGAAGTGGTGTCAAGTATCCATGGTTGTTCCTGAAATGGTTGGGATGCAGGGGTATCTAGATAGGCAACTCTTGCAACACCTTGGAAGGCAATTCATGGCATCCTCCCACAGTTCCTACGCTTTGTAAGGTATGATGCTTGCTCTAGGACTCGGGTTCTTTTCTAGGAAGACACTTGGGTGGGAAATTTGCCCCTTAAGGATCTGTTCCTGTTAAGGGCCCGCGAATAGGATCTCGTCACAGGTCGGTTAACAAGGAAAACTTCTAGTTTTCCCTTGTTTCTCCCTTTTTTTCGAGGAACCTATCTTTAACGCCTTTATGGTGATTTGTTAAAGAGATCACCAACTCTCCTCTGCTCTTTCTTGACTGAAATTCTGGATGGATTTATTGAATAACATCTTCTCCTTAAATAGGAATTACAAGAGTCCTTCTTAAGGAAACTTTCTAAAAAAGAACTTTCTAAAAAACATTAAGAGACTTTCTAAAAACATTAGGAAACTTTCTAAAAAGAAACATTAAGAAACTTTCTAAAAGACCTAGGAAATAATAATGCTACTGCCTAATTAATAGGAACACTGAATCTAGCTAAGAGATAAGATAGGAACACTGAATCTAGCTAAGAGATAAGATAGGAACACGGAATCTAGATAAGATAAGATAGGAACACTGAATCTAACGCCCATTACTGCTATTGTCTGCGGCTGTATTCCTTTCCAACTAAAGCATCCACAATAGTACTCCCCTCTTGGACCAAGAGCTTGTCTTCAAGCTCGAATTCAGGATAGGTGTCTTGAAACACAGTCAAAGGAATCCAGGATAGGTGGAATGATTTTGCCCTCTTGGATCGGGTTCCAATGAAGAGGGTGCATCCTCATCTTCCTCTTGTTCCACCAGGAGGCAGAAAAGTCTCTTGCACTTGTGCCCTGCTGAGTAAAGTTCATCACAATTAAACACTGTCCCCTCGCCCTGCGTTCCGCCATCTCAGCCCTGGACAAGCGCTTAATAGGGGGTGCAACAACGCTGCTTCCCACACTGGATGTTGATCTGGAATTGTTGCTCGTCTGTGGTTTCTAATCTTGGTTGGCTGCTGAAGATGGAGCCATTCTGAGTGGTTTTGGGGCTGCCCATGTTGTTTGAGGCCGCTCTATACTGATACTTCCGCGGTTGAGTTGCAATTTGTGTTCAAAAGCGCGAGCCAAATTCATAGCAGTAACCAGATTGGGGGGATTTTGCATCTCCACATCCACCCTCAAGGTTTCCGCTAACCCTACGGTGAACATGTCAACCTGTTGGTCTGGTCGTACCGAAGATTCTCTTGTAAGGAGGGTTTGAAATTGACGTTGATACTCAGCCACAGTTCCAATCTGTTTGAGGTTGATTAGTTCGCCTAATGGATTGCTTGTTAATGGGGGCCCGAATTTGAGAAGGCAGTAGGATTTGAATTGGGTCCAACTGAGCCCAGGTTCCTCCTGCTCCAATATATAAAACCAGAGTTGTGCCTCCTCTGTCATGTGGAATGCGGCTAAGCCTACCTTGTCCCTGTCCTCTGTCCGTTGGTTGCGGAAGAACTGCTCACATCTGTACAG